AAGAACAAAAGTCCTCAGCACTGGGCCAAAAGGCAACATCATGCCAGATGGTGAAAAGATTGGCTCTACAATCAACAAATCAAAGAGTTGGATCTACAATCAACCTCTGTTGTAACAGTTGTCAAGAAATCAAAAGATGCATTACGAAAGTCTGCTGTCAAGGACATCTCCAAAGTGTTAAAGTGTAATGATATCTCACTTTAAAGACTAAGGTATACTTGATTCAAGTCATAGTCTTTTCAATTACTTCATATGCACTTGAAAGTTGGGCAATGAATAAGAATGATTGATGAAAAATTGATACCTTTAAATTATGGTGTTGGAGAAGAGTACTGAACCTACTGTGCACTGGCAAAAGAATGAACAATCTGTGAGGAAGGAAGTGTACCTAGAGTATTCTTTAGAGGCAATGATGGTGAAAATTTGTCTTACATATTTGAGGCATGTTGTCAGAAGGGACCAGTCTTCAGAAAAGAATATTATGCGGAGAAAGGTGGAGAGTCAGAAAAAGAGAGGAATACCCTTACCAAGATGGAGCGACACAGGAACAGTGGGCTTGAGCAGGGCAGAGATCATGAGTACAGTCATAGTGTTACTCACCTCGATGGCACCTAACAACAACAACATGAGATTTCCCACATTTCTCTTGAAGAGCACTTTGTGGATTCAAACTACATGTCTTCGGGTTGACAGTACAGTTCCTTACCACTAGGCCACCAGAGTTCCCTGCTACATGATAGCAGGGAGGTAATGCCCTATTTGTTGAATATTTATATAGTCCACAAAGATTCTCACCACTAGGCCCATTGGCAGCATCATGACAGACAGTGAGGTGGCGAGATTGAGACTGTTAACAACTTTAGTTTGCTTGGCTCCACAACACTCTTAGAACCAGCAGCCAGGAAATTAAAAGACAAATTGTATTGGGAAAGTCTGCTGTCAGGGACCTCTCCAGAATACTGAAGAGCAACAATGTCAGTCTGGAGAGTAAGGTGTGCCTGACCCTGGCCATCATCTTGTCAATTACTTGCTATGCATCAGAAAGCTAGACAATGACTAGGGATAATAGAAAGAGAATTGATGTCTTTGTGCTGTGGTGCTGGAGAAGAGTATTGCATCTACCTTGGACTGCCAGAAGAACAAACAGGCTTGTTCAAGAGAGGATGAGACCAGGCTGCTCCTTGGAAGCAAGGTTTCTGAGGCTTCGTCTGGTATACTTAGGCCTGTTACAGGGAGGGACTAGTCCCTGAAGAGGGGCATCATTCTTGGAAGGGTGGAGGAACAGTGCAAGAGAGGAAGACCCTTGATGAGATGGGATGGTTCAGTGACTGGGGTAATGAGGGTAAATGTGTGAGAGACAAGAAGATTGGCACAGATAGAGCAGGTTTCAGGGCTGTTGTACATAAGGTCGCTATGAATCCCTGGCAACTTGATGGCACATAACAACAACAATAGGAGTTGCACTGCTCACCTAAACCTGGTACCTCTCTGGCGTTTCAAATTCATAAGCAGCTCAAGAGGAAAAATGGGCAATTTCCTCTAGCGTCATTTATAGCCTCCTGAAAACCTGCTGGGCGATCATCTGTGAATCGGTTCCAACTCAACAGCCATGAGAACTGAGTTACTTTTTGTCATGAATTAAATTGTGCCCCCCACCTTTGACAAGCACTGTGGCAATTGGACAATTAAAACAGACATGGGGGGGGGGAGAAGAACGAACTGGGGATGAGGGTGGAGAAAAGAGTGCAACAATGAATGAATGAAAACCCAAAATCTCTGTAAATGTTCATTAAAACTAATAAAATTTAATAAAAAAAAATGTGCCCCCCACCTCAAAAAATATGAGTCAACTTCGTTAGACCATAATCCTCAGTATAACTCTGCTATATGTTGAGACAGATCCTCAATGAGCTGGACTGATCCTGTGATTACCACAATGGGCTGGAGAAGATCAAAGTCTTTTCAGTTACTTTCTATGTATCTGAAAGATGGACAATGAATAAAGGTGGCAGAAGAATTGATGTCTTTTAATTTTGTCATCAGTGAAGAGCACTGTCAAAAGGACAAACAAATCTGTTTTGGATGAAGTACAAGCAAAGAGCTCCCCTGAGGTGAAACTTCCTCTCAAATCCTTAGGGTATGTTGTCAGGAGAGGTCAGTCCTTGAAAAAGACATCATGCCGAGAGAGGTGGAGGGTCAGCAAAGGAGAGGACGACACTCAAGGAGATGGACTGACACAGTGACTGTGACAGTGGGCTCAAGCAGAGATGGTTCGGGATGGAGCAAGGCTCTGATCTATGGTTATTCATCCAGTTGCTATGAGTTGTAGTTGACACTACAGCACCTAACAACAGCAAGTGAAGTAAAAGTGGGGATCTCTAAGTTTGAATTCCAGTGATTTCAGAGTCTTATTGTTCTCTTTTAAGAGGAATGTGGAGAAAACACAAGAAAACAGTACATAGGACTCAGAAAAATGCAATGCCTATAACCAGTTCTGTTCCCATTTCCCCCCCCAAAAAGGTAATTCAACAGAATATGGAAATTATTGAACAATGTCATTACTATAACATGCAAGCAAAATATTGCTGAAGATTATCCAAAACCAGCTGGAATAGTACATAGAGTGAGAACTGCTGGAAGTTCAAGCAGGATTTAAAAGAGAACATGTTGTTGTTGTTCATTGCTGTCGAATCAAGAATGACTTATAGTGACCCTATGAACAAAAGATTTGAAGCCTTTCTATAACTATGGTCGTTTCTCAAAGTTCACAGAGTTTCCAGAGGCATATTGTTTAGGAAGTGGATGCCACTCCTGCTTCCAAAGTAGAGGTCATAGCACCAGAGATATCATTGTTGATGTGAGATGGATTCTAGCTGAAAGCAGAAAATACCAGAAAATTATCTATTTGTGTTTTATTGACTATGCAAAAGCATTTGACTGTATGGATCATAACAAACATAACTAACATTGATAAAATGGGAATTCCAGAAAGCTTAATTATGCTTATATGAAATCTATACCTAGACCAGGGATCTGTTGTCCAAACAGAGCAAGGAAACACTGAATGGTTTAAAATCAAGAAAAGTATGCTTCTGGGCTGTACTCTTTCTCCAAACCTATTCAATATGTATGGTAAGCAAATAAATTGAGAAGAGGCACTCTGAGGAAGAATGTGACATCAAATTCAGAGGAAGATTTCCACAAGATGTGGTATACAGATGACAAACCTTGCTTGCTGAAAGTTCAGAGGAGGACTTGAGGTGTTTGCTGCAGAACATTGAGGACTATGCCTTTCAGTATGGATTACATCTCAACATGAAGAAAACAAACCTCACCCCTGGGCTAATAGGCAACTACATGATAGATGGAGAAAAGGTTGAAATTATCAGTGATTTCATTTTACTTGGATCCGTACCTTTGGTATGAGCACTTGGGAGATCAGGAGATGTGTAGCATTGGGACAGTCTGCTGTCAAGGACCTCTCCAAAGTCTTGAAGAATAATGATGTAATTTTAAAAGACTGAGTCGTGCCTGACTTAAGCATGAATGCCTTTAAGTTGTAGGGTTTGAAAAAAGTAGTGACTATCCCATGAGCTGCCAAAAGAGCAAGTCTGTCTTGAAGACTGTGCTCCTTGAAGGCAACAATGGTGACGTTTTGTCTCACAAAGGGGTAGGGTCAGCAAAGGAGAGGGAGATCCACAGTGAGATGGACTGATCCAGTGTCTGTGGCAATAGGCCCCAGTGTGTCGAGGATGATAAGGATGGCACAGGATAGGATAGGGTTATTCAGGAGACACGTTCTCCATTGATGTAAGCTATTCCAAGTCTCAAGCAAGGATTGACTTCTCTGCAATCACTTTCTTAAGAAAGAACTATGAGGACTGAATGTCACCATCTAAAGTCTCCTCCAAGGTTCCCGGGTGGCCCAAACGTTTGAGCCGGATTAGGAACCTAATTAAGACTTCTAATTTAGAGATTGAAACCCACCCAATGTCCTCGTAGAGGAAAGGCCTAGAAATCTGTGATAATTAACAGCCAAGAAAACATTGGATACCCATTCTGCTCAGTAACATACGGGGAAGCCATAAATCCAACGCCTCTCCTCAACCGGTTCTTTTTTGGAAAGTCCCTTCCAGTCCTAAAAGTCCTGTGTTTCTAAAGAAAAGAGGACAATGACGCAGTTCCTCTTCTTCAAAGGCCCTTTGACAGCACGATGGCTTTGGGTCTGCCCTGTCCTTGCCACCCTAGAATTGGGGATACAGGAGCTGGCAGGTGAGTTTAATGCTCTCTTTCGGGCATCTGTCACACTGATTGTTGGAAGGCTGGAGAATGACTTTCCAAGGTGTTTGAAAAGAAAAAAACTCAAGTGCCGAGTTAGTGTGGAACAGGTGGCGCCGAGCGAATCCACTCAACTCGGTTGGTTCGCACTCGGGTGACGAGGCAGCGAGGCTGTGCGGGGCCCCAGTGCTCCCGGCCGCTGGCGAGCTTATCGGGCGCAGCTGCGCGGCCAGGGGCCGGGGCTGG